TACTGGAAAGGAGATACCGGAGGCAGTAAGTTTTACAACAGTGGTGAGGGGTTGCATATTAACAATTGATGGCTTGATGACACTCACCATAAGTCGAGTGCCGTCCACTAGCATGGGTTCCTGACCTGGTTCTATGATGGTGTTCGCTGTGATTGGGAGGTGGTTGAGCCTGGCCGATCTGTGACAGTAGGTCTTTTTTGTATGATTTAGAATTCAAACTGTCCTTCTTTGTTCTTTGATGAGGACCTCATCTTGTGACAGGCCAGGCCTGGTCCAGTTGTTCTCCCTCATCATGTGCAGGTCATGGTCTGTGGGATAATATGCTCTCACCATTATGAGCAGGAAGATCCCTAGTGACCATACTGTCGTCAACTTTGTGTGGTATTTGCCAGTGATGTTCTGTCTGTCTAGTGCATGGAGGAAAGAGAATTTGACTGATTTTCAATCCATTTACACAGCATGTTGACTACAGAGGGTGTGTTTCTGTGAGATAGAAACACAGCATTAAACAGGAAAGAAACAGAATCAATGGTGCAAACTTCAAGAAGGAGGCAAATCCAAATTCTGCTATAAAGTAGCTTTAGCAAGACAGTAATTATTCAGCTCCAGTCAGTTCAGAGTTAATTCAGTTGAGTTCAATCAATGTGTAAAGTTCATTCAAGATAAAACAAGTATGTTTCGTCTTAAGAACAATCTTTAGAAAAATAAGAACATTCATAAAATGTGTCTTAGGTTAGTAAGAATAAGGTTCAACAGGTTCCAACAGGTTAAACTGACTTGCCAAAAATCAACACAATGGCATCATTCAAACAAACTTTGCTTCATCGATTCAAAAACTCAATATAATACATGTCAAATCTGTGGCATAAGCATCAACGATTTTCATCAACATCAGACTTCATCAGACATTTAATAACTCATTTCCAAACCTAAAGCCAACATTTTTTTAATTAGAATTTTATTAAAATGTTCTAAATTAAAATAAACGTAGTTCTGCACTATAATCCAGATATTGTGAAGCCAGGGATCACACATAATAGTGCATTATTCATATCAGCTACATTTATTATGGTTTTAAAGTGTTAATGCCCTCTGTGTGGTCCAAACCTGAAATTTATGTTACCAGCTGAAGTTGATTTATTACTCTATGAATGTTCCCAGCTAGGCATACCAAGTTGAATACAATACTTGAAGTCAATACAGCAATATTGCTGAAATACTTCTGTTGGTTAATCTAGTTTGAATATAAAATATCTATATGATAATATTTGTCAAGCTTAATTTGTCATGTTTAATAGTCTGAAGTTGCACCTGACTCAATTATGGTGAAGACTGGACAAAAATAGCAGGAGAATAATTACTGAAATCTCATCTGTCAGTTTTGCAATAATATACAGTATACTGTGTTCGTCGAGTGGTATTCTTCTCACCGAGAAGACCCCCGGAAATGCCCGATCAGGGTCGTGCTTTCCTTTTTGCAACAAGGGTTGGAGCGAAGGCTGTCTCCCTCCACCCTTAAAGTCTATGTCGCTGCGATTGCTGCTAACCATGCCCCTGTGGAAGGGAAGTCGGTAGGGAACATGACCTGGTCATCAGGTTCCTTAGAGGGGTGAGAAGGTTAAATCCTCCCCGACCCCCCTCTATACCCTCTTGGGACCTGTCTCTAGTGCTCAAAGCACTACAGCAGGGCCCATTTGAGCCTTTGCAGTCAGTCGAGCTAAAGTTTCTTTCAATGAAAGCTCTGCACCTGCTTGCACGGGCCTCCATCAAGAGGGTAGGGGACCTGCACGCATTTTCGGTCGCCAATTCATGCCTAGAGTTTGGGCCGGCTGACTCCCAGGTAATCCTGAGGCCCCGGCCCGGCTATGTGCCCAAGGTTCCCACTACTTCCTTCAGGGATCAGGTGGTGAGCCTGCAAGTGCTGCCCCTGGAGGAGGCAGACCCCTAGCTTTGCTTTGTCCCGTCCGAGCCTTGAGATGGTACGTAGACAGGACACAAAGCTTTAGGACCTCAGACAAGCTCTTTGTCTGTTACAGAGGCCGGCAGAAGGGGAAGGCCGCTTGCTAAAACTGCTCCAGAGTGTCCATACTGTAGGCCCTGTCGAGCACCTCCGTCCCCTCGGCAGCCAGACATGACGGAACATCCGGCGCCCAGGCCCTCACTCGATGAATCTTTGAGAACCGGTAGAGGGCTGGGTTCCATATGTAGAGACCTAAGTGGATCCCATATGTGTAAAGTCCACAGTATAGCCTCAGAGCCCGTGTTTCCCCGGCAGACTTCTGCCATTTCCAAGAGGATTATAATCACCTCTAATCTTCCATATGCACCTAACAGTTGTTCATATATGTAAGTGCTTCCGAAACCTCCTTCAGGAAGGATGGATTCCTGTTCAACGTGGTACGGATACGTTTTCCCAGTGTTATCCAATGCGAAAACCTGGTATGCGTTGCACCGGCTGCCTTTTTATGCTCACGCTGTGATCAGCGGCAGCTGGATGCAATTATCGCATGCCAATGTGCATTGGCTCGTTTAGTTTACACTCTAAGTAGATTGGTCTCTCTAAGCGAGATCCCAATTCGTCGGTCACCGACGTGACGTCTCGGTTCCCTCCTTCATGGAAAAAGTGTTACATACGTAACCGAGACGTTTCTTTTTCTTTTTATTGCTGAAGATTGTTGAACAACTACTTCTCCTGTGTCCTATTCTTCATGCAATCCAGAATGGCAGCACAATTGAAAGGTTTGTGTGAGCTGCATCCTCTGCTATACAGATGTGAATGTACATTTCATTCAGTCTGATGCTTACTCATTTCACTTTGGGTTTTTACATTTGCCAAAAATATAACTTTTTATATTAAAAACAAACGAGCAAGCCCAGCCCAGATTTAAAATGTAACACAAAGGTAACACGAAAGTCATGCATTACTTTCCATAAACGTAATGTAATTAGTTGCTTTTTTAGGGAGTATAACAATATTGTAATGCATTTACTTTAAAAAGTAACTTTCCCCAACACTGAAAGTAAAGTCACTTAATTGGATGAATACTGAATTGCCATTTAAAAAATAAACAGCAGAAGGCGAACACTTGCTAAAAAAGATTTGACAGATGTGGCCTTGACAGATTTGAGACATGACTCAACTCTACCCCAGAGACTTGAGTTTTGACTTGGACTTAATCTCAGTAACTTGTGAACATGTCTTATTATATATACAAGGCTGTGAAGGGGAGTAAATTTCAAAAGGGTGCCCCTTATAAATTCCAGTTCAAGCCAGTCACATTTTTTTAAAGGGAATTAACAAAATTTCTAACTCATTAGCCTATGAAAACTATGCGAGTACCGCACAAAAATGTAGCAGTATTTTCTACACACAACAAATACATGAAAAATACAACATCATTCTTCCTTGAGAACGTTTAGACTGAAGTTGTTACACAGATATAATGCTTCGTCATTTGCTGGAGGCATGGTTTATCTTGGCTGACAGCAAATGCTGAGAACCAAAGTTACCCAACACCCATTCATTATGAGGAAAATCCAGCTGATTTGGCTGCTTTGAGAAACAACAACAACAACAACTGAATTTTATTTTCTGGACAAGAACTTTTATTTCAGTGTATCAGTATTGAGACTTTTTTTGTCAGTCCAGTTTGCCTCATTATATTTTATAATGTATAATTTTATAAACCTAATAAGTAATTCTTGTCATGGAATTGTCACGCCCTAGTAATGGCGGATGGAACCTGATCTGTCAACAGCTAGACAGTAGACTCACAGCTCACATTTATAGAAGCCCAACTCACCCCCCACAGACCTCATGTGAGACAAGTCCATTTGGTCATCAACTTTTCTGACAAGCCCCAACAGCTGCAGTTTGAGTCTGGTCTCTCAGCATAAATACTAGGACACTGTCATTTGGCTCCTTTTATCCATGCACAAGCACAGTGCTGCACAGAGACCTTAAGAATCAAGAACGATCTGGACCAGGTCTCTGTACTATACTGTCCTGATATTCAGTGATTCTTTCACTGTTTCACTTCATTATCACTTCAGTTATTTTCGTGTCAATTTTTCATTTTATTTGTCCATTAGCAGTGGATTCTGGACAAAATGCAGAAGGAAACCAAGACAAAAATCTTGTTTTTTGTGATCATGGTGGGCTCAGTGTGCATGTTAACAGCGGTGGTGACAGACCACTGGGCCGTGTTGAGTCCTCGAGTGGAGAACGTAAACACAACATGTGAGGCAGCCCACTTTGGCCTTTGGAGACTTTGTAAGAAACACATCTATATTGAGGACGAGGAATTAATTGGTAAAGGTTGTGGACCTATCAGTTTACCGGGGGGTAAGTGACAGATTATCTAATTATCTAAGGTGTTTTTTTAAAATCATTAATTTTGTACAAATATAATAATCATCATCATACATAAGCACAATTTATGTTTGTCAACAAAACTAATTTCAACCATGTAAAACACAGACCTTTAGATCAATAGCTTTTAAGATAAGGAAAAATTATAATACTGGTGTGAACCCTAATCCTATACAGATCCTGTATAATTCTGTCCAAATACTGTATAATTCTTGGCTAACACTTTGTATAATTAATAGTTAGTTTGTTGAGAGAATGAATGTGCAGAGCTGTAATATAGGCAAAGGGTGGCTACTTTGAAGATGCCAAAATCGAATATTTCTATTTATAAAGTATAAAAAGTTTATATATAATTATATAAGAAGTTTTATTTATTTAACAACTTTAGTCTATACATCATTCCCACACACCCATTTGTGTTTTTGTTTCATAGTTTTGTGACTTTACTATTAGTTTGTAGAAAATAGTAATAATAAAGAATAAGTAGATATGTCCAAACCTTTGACTTGTAGTGTTTGTATTGCTCACAAAAAACAGTTGTAGTACAAATAAGAGGAACAAGAGGAATACATTTTACATTTTACATGATTTAAACCTAATCAAATTTGACTGCTAATCATTTTAACCACAAGTTAAATATTTAAAGCAAAATATTTGTTTCCTCCAAACTTTGCCCAAATTTACCCACTTCTGTGTACTGTGTATATTTATTATGTATATATAAACACACACACATGCATGTATATATTTAAGAAAAATATGTTACGTTTCTATATTAAATATATATATATGATATAGTGCTGTCAAACAATTAATTGCATCCAAAATAAAAGTTTTTGTTTACATAATATATGTGTATACTGTGTATATTTATTATGTATATATAAATACAAACACATGCATGTATATATTTAAGAAAAATATGTTATGTTTATATATTCAATATATTTATATATAATATAAGAATATAAATATCTAAATGTATATACATGCAAATATTTTCAAAATATATACTGTATGTGTGTGTATTTATATATACATAATAAATATACACAGTATACACATATATTATGTAAACAAAATTTTTTATTTTGGATGCGATTAATCGTTTGACAGCACTAATATGATATAATTTATATGAATATAAATATGTACACGTAAATACATGTAAATATTTTCAAAATATATATGCTGTATGTGTGTGTCTTTATATATACATAATAAATATACACAGTACCCACACATATATTATGTAAACAAAACTTTTATTTTGGATGTGATTAATCGCGGTTAATCGTTTGACAGCTCTAAATTATATATAATCAGAGGTTTTCAGAGTGTCTTCACACAGAGAGTTGCATAATCTTTTAGCCGTCCCTCAATCCATAGTCTTAGCCCTTAGTCAGGCCCCATGGATGGTCTGCAGATCTACTGGGATTTCCCTGTCCGTGGGACTTGTTTAGGTGCTATGACAACTCCAGCATGGAGATCACTGCTAAAGTGGGAAAGCTGTAAGCAGAATGACAGGAAGTACCTAAAAGGTGTGGACTGTCAGTGACTCTGAACCTGACAGACAGGAAGTATTTTTAAAATTAAACAAATTAATTACATTTTTATTTTAATTATTAAAATCAGAAAATCATGCTGCCTTTTTGGGATCATATTCCTAAAGCCCCAACACCTAACACTAACCATATTAAACATGCTGATAAAATTGTAAAAAATGTGTTGCCCCAAACTTGAATTCAAGCTTATACTTAATCTTGAATTTAACAGTTTAATTTACTGTTTTTAACATGTTAAAACGTAGCAGCTGTGTGAGTACGTGTGTGACTGCCCTTGTAAATGTAGTCAGTAAAATCTATAATTAGGCTGTGTAAATAGTCAGCTGTCCCAAGAGGTCACATCTGAGAGAACAGCATAGATGCCTGCCACCTTTTTCTCAACACAGACATTCCTATTGGCCCTCAAATAATACCACTTAGACTGTGGCCCAAATCATCAGGAGACCCTATAAGACAAAAAGAGAGGCAAAAAGAGCCATTGATTCTATTTGAACATGAGAGGATGTGGTGGAACTGGCAGGTAGATTTAAAATTACAGGATGGCAAAGACCTTTGGAAACATGTACATTAATATCTGGCATTATTACAGTCATTACTTTTAACATAGATCCATATGACAGTTTCAGGGAGTGCGTAATGAGTATTAGGAATAGGGTTGCAGTCAGCTTTGCTCTGTGTCATATTAAAAAAACTATAAACATAAATTACTTTAGACGTGATATGTTTTAGCAATCCTTGCCAATCATTGCATCAATAAAAGGCACATGATTCCACAGTTCGTTTATTATTTGGCACAACATGAAAGACTAGCTGAACATGCCATGCTGCACTACAGCAATCTATCAGTCATTTCTCTAAATAAAGCATCAAATCAGCAGATTGGAAGATTTTGTTGAAAACCTGTTCTCCCCTTTTTTGAACAGTGATTGTCTCATCAAAGCATAGCAAACTTTGCCTTCTGCCTCATGTGTTACGTTTTGTCACATTGGCAGTCTCATGGAGCCAACTCCTCAACAGTTGTCAAATAACTCAGAATTTATATTTAGCTGCTCGTGATATTACATGGGACATAAAAAAAAACAACAACAACAACTCTGCAGTTGACACTTATGGCAACAGGTGACTCACACAAGAATTCTTGTGAGGGGCAATAAGCCCTGGTTAATAATAAGACACAGATAAGCAAAAGTAGTTCAACTGCTCTTACTTCAGACACTTCACACCAGGGGAAGATTCTGAGATCTTTGAAGTTAAAACTCAGAGAGGTGAGTTCGAACCAACACTGTGCACTGTGCACCATTACTTCTGTTATATGTACTGTAAAGGGTGATGAAATGGAAAAGAATCACAGGTATAGTGGACAGTTATCCACAAACTGAATTATTATGTTTATAGAAAGTTCTAGGAAAGATCTCTGAAGCATGATATATTATATTGTATTTGAAAATCATTGTCATTGACATGTAGCTCTTGCTGATTTCTCTACTCAGAATACAACATCTCAGCAGCTGCCATAGCCATCTTCAGTCTTGTCTTTATGATTCTGGGCACATTGTGTGTGTTGGGTTCCCTCAGAAAGGGAAAGGACTATCTGTACAAGCCTGCCGGCATGTTCTTTGCTTTTGCAGGTAGGATGGAACATCTAATCATTCTCTTACAAATAATTTATTTGACACACTGCATTTTAGAAAATGACATTACCAAAATGTTGTATCCATAAAAGGTATTTAGACACTTGTTTGAATGCCATAGCATTAGAGAACAATCAACATTTATTTTAATGAAAGATAGTACAAATACACGTTGCAATTAAAACATTTCAAAAAAGAAAAAAAGAGATACTTTTTGAGGGCACTGTACATTGATTTTCATATCATTTCTGTCCTCAGGTCTGTGTGCCATCATCTCAGTTGAGGTAATGCGTCAGTCAGTCAAGAGGATGATAGAAAGTGAGGAGACTATCTGGATCGAGTATTACTATTCCTGGTCTTTTGCGTGTGCATGCACGGGTTTTGTCCTGCTCCTCCTCAGTGGAATTGGTCTGTTGCTGGTCTCCATGCCACAGATGCCTAGAAATCCCTGGGAAACCTGCATGGACGCTGAGCCTGAACAAATATAGAGCAGGAATTCCAGATGCCAGCAGGTAAAACACGGTCTCAAAATATATCTAAACCTCTCTGATACAATGTCAGAGATTGACAAGCAGAGGTCATAAAATTAGCTCAGTAGCTTCCTTTCCCCCCCTTGCGAACTGGCACTGAAGAGTATAGGTGTGTAACATCCTTTTACATCCAACCATGCCAGCAAGAAGCCAAGCTTTTCAATCTTTATATTATTATTATTTACGTGTATGTAACATTTAACATCCTAATTTATAAAATATTTGAGATGTAATATGAAGAGTGCAGCTGACATTATGTAGCTGGAACTTTCGTGTAATAATGCTGTACATTAACAAACATACAAGGAACGTTTACGACAATAGGATGGTTTAAATGGAGAAGTGATTGTTAGCGTGAAGGATTGAACAATTATTAACATCTGACTAGCATATGTTCAGATGCTGAAGTAACTGGAAAAGTTCATCTGCACTAATTTGTCAGTGAATAGTGCAGTGGTGTAATGCCACAAGATTTTGCTCCAGAAAGCATAATTCATATCCTGTAAATGGATTTATTTTATTTTATTTTTTAAGATGTGTGAATGCTACTTTGGAGTTGTGCTTAATAAATCTCATTTTATTGATAGCCATTTTAACACTAGTTCTCTTTTGCCTGGGCACAGTGATGCTCTCAGCTGCCCTGAGCAGAATGCAAATGTTTGGTCTGCTGTGGTTACTGAATACTTGGCCAGACATTTTGGAATAATTTCAGATCTTGCAGGTGCAAAGAAAATGGCATCAATCTCACTCTTATGTGAAAAAGTAAAATTATTCTGAGACTTTCCAAGTCTACAGCTTCCTGAAATGCACCCACAAACTGTGTTTGCCATTAACTGTGGTCATTTTTGGCTCTGCACAAATCCGGTTTATGTATCCAGCTGTAACCTGTAGATCAGAAAAAAATCTTCACCATATTTTTGGGTGGTGATTCACCCTGTGTGTATAAAAAAGATCTTAACATCAAATGTATTGCCTATTTGAATTCATCAGGCTTTTTGACAATAAATTAAATACCATAGAACCTTTTAAACTTAAAGCTCATTGGGCTTAAAAAGTCTTATTAGACCTGGTTCCTCAACAAACTTATTTATAAAGTTGGCAACTGGATTTAGAAAGTGGGGATTACTGTCACTGACAAACACCAATAGGGTGTCAGAGCCATAGCCTTGTGGGCAGCGCTTGGACAACCAAAGTTTGAGAACCTGCTTGCTTGTGGTCCTTTCCTTTTTTCTTTCCTCTCCTATCAATTCCTGTCATTGCCATTGCAAAAAGAAAAAAGAAAAAAAGAAAAAAAGATGGGTGAGCATGCTGACAACAAATCTTGAGTGTGTAATGGCAATGAGAATGGTCATTTTACCACATGCTGAGGCAAATTCATAAAAATCATGTTTAAAATCAACGTTGTAATAATTTATTTTGATGTTTGCATGCAGAACAAGAGACCATGGATGTTTGGATCGTGTTATGCAGCCCAACAGAATAAATGTATTTCTGGTATTACAACCCTATGTCATGTATTTCTAATAAAAAAGTAAGCTAACTCCCATGTTCATGTCGATGTTCATTCTGTCTCCTTTACTGTGATTTATTCAAAAAAAGATTGACTTTAATGTACACCATGCACCAGAGGTTTTGATGTATTTAGATCGAATTGCATTTACTGTATTTATGTAGCTGTTTATACAGTTTTACTACATAATATTATCTAGGCATAGTTTAACAGTCACAGTTTAGGTTTCCATTTTATGAACAACAGCTGAAAGATAGCTATAAGACAGCTGTCTGATCTGCATGCTAATTATTCTCTTTAAGAACATTTAGGTTACTTGTGTAACCCTCATTCCCTGAAGGAGGGAACGGAGACGCTACGTCAGTCATGACTGACGAATTGGGATCTCGCCCGAGAGCCCAATCACCTTCGAGTGTTAACTAAACAAGCCAATGACAGTTGGCGTGCGTGTTTCGTCACGCGCACCCCGCCCCGCAGCGCGGGTATAAAAGGAGAGCGCGTGCAAACGCACATCAGTTTTTCGCTGAGGAGCCGAGACTACTTGCCCCGGCCGTACAGTGGTGGTACAGCAACTGTGGCGATGGAACGTAACGTCTCCGTTCCCTCCTTCAGGGAACGAGGGTTACACAAGTAACCTAGACGTTCCCTTTATTTGCGTAGGCCCCGAGGCCAGCTGCACGCCAGTGCGTCCGTGCCGAGGGTTCCCTCGGCCAGGGAGTAAAACAACTGGCAATGGGACGTGTCTGGGGAGGCAAACAGGTCTACCTGGGCGTCCCCAAAGCGTCTCCAAATCAGCTGGACTGTCTCGGGGTGGATTCGCCATTCTCCCGGAAGGGCGGGCTGACGTGAGAGCTCGTCGGCTGCACGATTGAGCTCGCCTGGGATGTGAACGGCGCGAAGCGACCTCAGATGCTTCTGACTCCAGAGGAGGAGATGGCGGGCGAGTTGTGACATGCGACGGGAGCGTAGACCGCCCTGGTGGTTGATGTACGCAACGGTCGCAGTGTTGTCCGTACGGACCAGTACATGCTTGTCGTGTAGCAGCGATTTGAAGCGGCGCAGAGCCAGCCATACTGCTTGCAACTCGAGGCAGTTGATATGCCACTGCAGTCGGGGCCCCCGACCAGAGCCCCGCAGCTGCATTCCCATTACACATGGCACCCCAGCCCCTGGCAGAGGCATCTGTTGACACAACAACATGCCTGGATACTTGCCCAAGGGACACCCCTGTCCAAAGAAAGGTAAGATCTGCCCACGGGCTGAAGGTCTGACGGCAGAACGGGGTGACAGAAACCCGGTAAGTGCCGGAGGAGGCACCAAGTCTGTTTCGGGCAGAAAAAGGTGCCTTCCAGGACTTGGTAACCTCCTCATGCACTTCTGGGAAGAAAGGAACCAGAGGCGGCTGCCGACGCCCGGCCTGCGCCCCCAGGAACCAATCATCCAGCCTCGAGCGTTCGGGAGAAGGAGGAGGCCTCCAGTGCAGCCCGACACTCTCGGCGGCCCGGGAAAGCATAGCGGTCAGCTCTGGATCTGACTCGGGCAACGCCACTCTTCCTGACGGTGGCAGCGCAGCCGAATCCTCATCTCCAGAGCCTAGCTCTTTTATACCCGCGCTGCGGGGCGGGGTGCGCGTGACGAAACACGCACGCCAACTGTCATTGGCTTGTTTAGTTAACACTCGAAGGTGATTGGGCTCTCGGGCGAGATCCCAATTCGTCAGTCACGACTGACGTAACGTTGAACGTGACTGACTGAAAGGGAACTGTATGAACCACTCATTATGTTTACCATTCATTTTACCACTGTACAAATGTAATGCCATAGTTAAAAAAATAAAACATTTGTCAACCAGTCATACATACTGTATGTACAGTATACTAAAGCAAAGCAAAATTAACCAGTGATTACTTACAAATGAAATATAATTTTCATAGAATCCAAGATGATAGTAAGAATGTGATATACTGTATCTACTGTAAGTGTCTCAAATGTATTTTACTCTGGTTAGACTTAATCTTCATTTAATGGCATTTTATGGCATTTTCCTGGAACATTTTAGAGGGAGTAGAATTTTGGTAAGGAAAGCTTGGCGGTACTGGTCACTGTCAAGGCAAGTCAAGGCACCTTTATTAGTGCATTATACAAGAGCTTGTTTCAAAGCTGCTTCACAGTAATAAACATGGATGTAACAGAATCAGTGAAGCCAACATCTAATATAAGACAAATTCAAATTCTGTTATAAAGCAGGTATAAATAGACAATAGTGTCATTATTCAGCTCCATTCAGTTCAGTGTTGATTCAGTTCAGGTCAATATCTGTGTATAGTTCCTCAGCTATCAAACAAGTTCAATTCAGCGATCAGAAGCTCAACTGAAGACTGTAGTGTAATTATTCAGATCAAATCAGTTCAATGTTGATTCATTTCAGTTCTACCAGAAAGACTCAGAGGGCAGGTGAATGTTACATGCTATTTATTCCATAAAGAATTAACAGATGGTAGCAAGCTACAAGGATTCATGTCTAGTTGTACTGAAAAGTTATTTGGCATATGCCCTGTCCCTTTTCAAATCCTGGGGATGCAGATTGGCTGTTCCTGCCTGAAGATAAAGCCTGAAGATAAAGCCAGCCTACCCCTGGCCAATGGACAGTTGTGGTGGTGGGGAGGATGGAGGAACATCAGCATTATCAATTATGAACGTAAAAGAGAAATTTCAGTTCTTATACATCAAGTGTCAAGCAATGTTTGGCCAGAATGATGTGGCATTAGAATCTTCCTGGTAGAACATTTGCTGAAGCTTTCATTTCAATCGTGTCGATGTTGAAAAAAAATCTTCAATTATAAACAAATTTGATTTAGCTATAAAGAAGCTCTACAGAAGAGCAATAGTTTTGTTCTCATCTGATAGTGTCAGTGCCATCAGATGACAGAAATGGAGGCAAAAACCTTAGGAGAAACCAGGCTTAGCCAGAGGACCAGTTCTCCTTTGGCCAAAAGAGCAAACACGGTTTGATTTATGGGGCTGCATCGCATGTGATAGTGACAATGGCTGACCCCCTTTGCAGAAAGAATTTAAAATGTACTCATGTTCTGCATTACTCTTGCATAATTACCTTAATGTTGGACCACTGTTTAAAACTGGGGCAGATATAGTCATTAACCTTTTGTGGCAAATGAAGAAAAAACTACATATAATTACACTTCTAGATAAATTGATTGGTTTTAAATGAACTATTCTTATATATCAGCATATGATTGTAGCAAATGCTGTGTTTGTCCTGAAAGGCTGCAAAACTCCTTAGAAAATAATTTCATAATTTATATAGTTATGCTAGTTATGTCCAATATAATGTTTATGTTTTATTTTCCATAATTATTTTTTTGTTCACATTTGAGTGCATAAAGCAAATATGGCACATTAAGCCATATTACAAATGTGAGATGTCATTCTCAAGACAGATGCACAATGCACCACATCAGTTGTCCCAGCTGTAGACATATCTTTACAAGGATATTGCTGTTATTTTTTAGGCAGCACTCAGGGAATTCACTGGAATCAAGGCTCCAGGGAGTTCTGAGGTCCTTTTAGACTTGGGGGATGCCAGCTGAGGTACGAAGAGAGGAATCCTGTATAGGCAGATGTTCCCTCTAGAACTTGAAGATGATTTCTATTGACAGAAATGTATCATTGTCATTATAGCCTACACACAGTCATTAATTTAATTTCAGTTAAAATTAAAATGATGAAATTCTACTGGCAATTATCACTGATTTCTCATGAGCTTGTTGTTAGGCTACAATATAAGAACATCTTTACTGTACATTTCAGGTTGGCTGATTCTCAACATGCACAACATTGAGATCTCTCTCATGTTTACAACACATAGATGGACGATTCAGGCTGTGAGTGCAACAAGGAAAATCAACACTCATGTTCTTATCATTTATGTGCACATCAAGAAACTAATAACTATGCCAGTAACATTCTTTCAATTATGGAGCGATAGCGGATGCAAGGGAGATGACATTTGGGGTTGAAAAAATTATACAAAAATTAAAGTTTGAACTTGCTATGATTGGTCAGTGCAATGTAGTTGCCATCTGGAGTCCAAATTGTGTGCCATGTCTTGACACTAGAAATCCACAAAACTGATCTGCAAATGCACATGAAGTGATTCACAAACATGTGCTGTGATCCAAAATGCACATATGAAGGTATGCCCTCATGAGCATCAGCTGCCCCCCTTGCAAGTGTCCCTAATAGTTTGTGTAGGTCTATGGCAGACAATTTCCTGGCCCCTTCAGTACATTAAAAAATATATATATGTGTGGAAGTGGAGGAGTGTTTCCTAAAATCAACATATAGAGCCTTAATGGAGTTCCTCTGAAATAACATCACAGATGGCAAATGGCAGTCAACGCAATTTCTGTTGAACAAGCTAACCATCAAGACACACTTTGTTGTGCTGGACTTTGACATCTGGAAGCAGAAGAAATTATAATACTGTTAACTAATAATCTATAATTTCAGTCCAGCCACAAGATCCGTGCTGGGAATGGGCATATCTGTAGACATTATGTAAAAATCAGCATGGGCATCAGCATTTTCATGTGAAACATTCAGTACCAGGCAATACTTCAGTGTATATTGCAGAACAGTCTTCAACCTTCTGAGGGTTTATCCACATAACACTGTGACAATATTTGTTTGCTTAACACTTCACACTTTTGAAAAGCCTTCCAGAAGCTTGGTGTCCATAAGTGCCGACACACAACTCCCAAAACATGTAAAGCCAGGCTTGTAAAAATTACATGGGCTTACCTGGAGCTTGCACAAAGGAGTTGCAGATAGCCAACTTTGCCACTAATATGTTGTATATTTCCTTAAAAAAAAAAAAAAAGATAAAGCATAAAGGAGGGATGGACATACAAGCTCCTGATTCATGGACCAGATAATCCTTTACTCCCACCTAGTGGCATAAAATTGCATTCACCATTGAAGTTCATATTAGGTACAGGTACAGATTGTGGCATAAACTGTGGAAAAGATGTACAGGTAGATTTTTTTTTTTTTAATAAAGAAATTAGGTCATGTGGTATCTCTAGAACATGAGCCAAGTATATGAGCCAATATATGATTTTGTGACACATGGTTTATGAAATAAAACAAAAACATTGCATTCTACTTTATTTCTTTATCTATAGCGTGTCCAATTACTATCTTCTTGATACTAGCAGTCAATGTCTTGGACCTTGATTTTTGGCCTAGATTTCACATTTATACCATTTACATTTTTGTCTGTGCATTTAGTTTTAGTATAAAGTGTATAAAAAAGTATAATGATAATAAATACAGCTTGAATTACACAAAGCCCATAATTATTTCTGCACTTGAGTCCTCGCTCTCCGTATTACTATCTCGGATATCTAGAGCAGTGGTTCTCAAATCTTTTTTTAGATGGTGGAACACTTCAGCAGTACAATTTGCTGACTTCTTAACACCCCACATCTGGGGAAACCACCAACATCAGCAGTGTGGTAATTGGAGTAAATATGTTTTCGTGGTGGACATACTAGGCTATATATAGTCAAATAATGTAGTTTACAAATAGCATGTTGGTTATTTACATCCACTAATACAAAATAAGTTATGTTATTAAAGTTATACAGCAGCAAATACTTTAATACTTTAGTTAGTTAATTTATTGTAGTTGATTGTCAGATAATTCAGTGTTTTCAATGTTGTTCATTCATAATTCAAAAGCTTTTTATTAAATATATTTATTATAATCACCATTTATAATTTTATTTTTTTTATTTTATTTTGTCAGTTGATCAACTTGCAGATCTCTTACATAACATTAGTGAAACATTTTATGGCTTCAAACCATAATATTCTCATAACAATTAAAAGAAGATATTATATTGAAATAAATGTAAACATAAACACAGTTGAAACTGGCATCCATATTCAGTGTTGGGAAGGTTACTTTGGAAATGTAATAGGTTACAGATTACAAGTTACCCTATTTAAAATGTAATAGTAGTGTAACTTTTTTAATTACTTTATTAAAGTAATGTAACTGATTACGTTTTGATTACTTTTCTACATTTCTAATGAATGTTTATTTTCAACAGTTAATCATTTTCAAACATTTACACCATGCAGGGTTAACCAAATGGATTACCATTTGTATTTATTTTTACTACAAATTCCATGGTTAAACTATGGTTAGTGTAGCAAAAACCATGGTTAATTTGCGGTTATCATGGTTTGACAATAGTAACCAGATTTATAATAAAATCATCGTTAATTTTCGTAAGGGTTGTGTTGTTGTCTGCCCTAGCTCCCACTAAACCTATAATAAAATATGGTTTGTCTGCTAAATTACTACTGTAACATTACAATAATAGATAGACAGGAAACACTGCATCTAACAATGGTTTGGAAAAAATAGTTAATTAAAAATAATAATAAATAAAAGCATATATATCAACTCAAATACGCATGTGTCTTATTGTGCACTAAACTCCTGAAACATTGGTGTATTTTTGAAACATTGGTGTTTGTATATGATATGATGATATGATGATAGTTTTCTCAAAATAAGTAAAATGCTCATGAAGTGACTCAGAGCAGTTCTAGAGATTATGTTTATGTGTTCATGTACTCATATATTGAGGCGCCAGAGGCTGACAAATTCCATGGTTAAACTATGGTTAGTGTAGCAAAAACCATGGTTAATTTGTGGTTACCATGGTTTAACAATAGTTTTTGGATTTATAGTAAAATCATCTTAATTTTCGTAAGGGTTGTGTTGTTGTCTGTCCTAGCTCCCCCTAAACCTATTATAAAATATCTGTTAAATTACTACTGTAACATTACAATAGATAATAATGATGTCCTTTATACAGTATTTTGAGTGATGACTGATGAGCAATGGGCTGCTGCTGCTTAACTAAGTAAACAAAGACAAAACTACAATAGCATATTTACAGATGAAACTGACCTGCTCTTGAAACCCTGAACAGTAGTTTTGCTTCTCTGCTCCACCTGTGCGCTTCCACAGTCCACTCCATTCTCTCTCTCGCATTGATTACTCTGATCCAAACCGTTTGGCGGAGAGAGCGCGAGCCGAAGCATTGCCAGTCACGACAAACCGATTCATGATTTATTAGAGATTTAAGTTTCGAATGGCGAATTCGGAAATAATCGCTTTAGTTCATTCGGCAGGCAATTAAATAACAATAATATTAAAATAGCGGGCCAAATCGGCTGCCAGGCCACCGGGAATTGTCCCGGTTCTCCCGATGGCCAGTCCGCGCCTAATTTCCACAGACACGCAGAACGTGCAGGATTCATATATTGTCTTTTTTGCGGCTTAATATTCACAGACACTAGTCCATATCGCGTTTTGATTCAAGTGTACTGACCTACTTTTGCTTTATTAGTCCAAAATGTGGCATATTCCGTCCGCGTTAGGCTATACGAATTCCGTTTTTATGACTGGATTCTACGAACCAGTCTGTGTTTTCAGCATCGCGGAAATTATAGGGCCGTATGTCTCAGAGTCAGTGCAATTTGGGAAAGTAATAAATTAAATCTGTATGTGGATGTGTGTAAATATTCAAATGTAATCCCCTTTGTAATCGTTAACATTTTGATAAGTAACTGTAATTTAATTACACAGTTATTCTTAGTAACTGTAACTGATTAATAATTTATAATAATTTTATTATAATTAATAATTTATGCATTTAGCAGTTGCTTTTATCCAAAGCGACTTACAGTGCATTCAGGCTATACATTTTTTACCAGTATGATTACAGTTACATTTATTTTGTAATTAAATTACGTAACGCCGTTACATGTAACTAGTTACTCCCCAACACTGTCCATATTCGTGTCTTTGTTTGATATAAAGCTTTGCATAGAAGCCCACAAAAAAGTGTTGAAAAGTTTAATGTTATCGTTGCCATTATTATGAAGACTCAAAGATGTAAAATGGTTGTGTCAGATAAGGAAGACCTTGCACTTGCAGAATTATTGGTTCAGATAACTATTTTAATATGAAAAACTTTGATAATTGTAAAGTTTTTTCCCACACAATGAAAGTCAGTGGAGTCCAATGTGGATTTCTGGTATTTCGGTTTCCATCTGAGGCTAAAGCATAATATTGAAAATTTCTCTGTTTTTTTTTTTTTTGAAGCATTCTGTACCAGGCACCCTCGGAAAGGTATGGGGTCTTTAGTCTTTATTAATTTTGGCTAAGCATTGCTCTTCTTCATTGGGTGAATCTGATGGTTTCAAAAAATATGTTGTCTGAGCAAGTCAACAATACTGCAATACTGTTTTGGGGAGATTTTAATTCAAAAATTCATTTCTGATGACGAATTGATAGATACAATGTAATGTAAACTCTGAGTGTTTACTATTGTCACTTTGCATTATTGACACTATTAATCCTAATTAATGCTGTACAGTTGCATTGACACAATCTGTATTGTTAAAAGCGCTATATAAATAAAGGTGACTTGACTTAATGTAATCTTTTAAAATCATGAAATATATTTTTCATTATACACACTTTCAATGCAGTAGCTACACAATAATATAGTGTGACATCAATTTAAAGTGTCTTTAACATATATACATATTTAACATATTTCTAACCAAATATATACAAAAGTTATAAGAAAAATAACAGTGTGCATGAGTAGAAAATTATGTTCTTATTTTCCGATTTATTTATGATTGCCTTTTTATTATCAATAAAATCCAACTAGCAGTTGATGGTATTTGCAAGATGACAATTTATGCTGAAACCTGTAAGAGTACAATAGGTCAACTACTGTATAAGGCAAAAAAAATGCTTCTGCTTTAACATTTTATCAATCGGGGAAATTTTAATTACTCTACATATTTTGTATCAAATCATAGCAAAAACATATTATGGATTATATACATACAGTGGAGAAATTGGTTATAAAACATACATAGAATTTTCCTTACGTTTATTTTTTCTACAATATATATAAACAGTGAAACAATCAATAATAACAGAATGTTTTTCTTGTCAAAATCACTGCATCACTGATATGTTTATCTTCTGATTAGATCAGAATGTAAAGCACTAGCAAAAAACAAAAAACATAAACAATAAAACTACAATAATGTTAACATTCATATCAAACACAAAATGCCTCTTAATCAAAAGACCACAGCTAGTCTCACCAGTGACATAACAACACATAACAATAATATAAAATATCAATATATTTAAATTCTGTGTTATGGTTACTTTCATAAAGTGCATAAGGGCAGAAACAAGATTAATGTTGAGTCACATTAGCATGTGTCTTCTCATTGAGTATGTGCTTTAATAAGCATGATGAATAAATATAATCATTTAAATACTTATTTTATACCATAATTTCTAGTTCTCTATTTTTCCATAAAACATACATCTGTTTTCAATTAAAGCTGCAGTTCTGATTAAAAACCAACTGACTGTTTGAATAAAATTACTCTAAAAAATTTTGACTTTTAAGAAAAAGGCAGAGGTACTATTAGCTACACATCAGTGTGGTAAACTACAAATAACAGAGAAAATGATACCATCATCTGATGTATTAAACTCAGAATCACTGCATTAGTACTGAAGGCTCTCGAAGACAAACACGACACAATCTCAGGTGCCAAAGCCATGCCAGTACAGCATCTTTAAGAACTAGCTAGATCTCTCTCATTCTCAGATTTCACTATTGTGTATTTGCAATCTCAACAGGGCGATGAGGACATCTGATCATAGTCAGGACACTTGAGGAGTGCAGGGTAGTTGGAATTCATTTGAAGGGATGCCACACTGGAGATGTCTGAGGGGCTGCGTCCACGAGCCCAGGCATCTGGATGCAGGAACTGACCAGAGTAGTCAGAACAGTTGCTGAGGCGAGGACGGTAGAAACCCGGATGTGGCCTGTACATCTCCTCTGCAGTGTACCGCTTCATAAACAGGTACACAGACATTACACCTGCTGCCTGGTGGTGGCACAAATAGAGAGAGATCGAAGAGCATATGAAATCAATGAATTTTTTATTTTTTTTTGGTGTTTAGGATACTGGGTCTAATTCACCATTAACTGTGTTTCATACTTATACACATAGGAAAATTTAGCAAGAAAAAAATTCCACCATATTCACAGCAGGTTTATTCCAAAAGAATAAACAAATAATGGCTAAACATTCCTTCCTATTTCAGAGTAGTCTGACTCTGATTAATTAAGACTGTACTTGCATAAGCTATTACCTCCTCAGTGCCTTGTCTTCTTTTATACACCAGCCCCACTGGCATTTGTACACACAATGAAGGAATGTTCTAAATTCGGATGCCTCAGGATGCGTGGAATCATTAAGTACATTTTCAGTTGCTTAAATGCCTTTTGGCATTGGGGCATGCACTAAAAAGCTTGGTCCTATCAGTGAGCCTAGAAAAACAGGGAACAAACTGCTGGTAATGCACGGCTAATCAGAGGAAATGCTGGACTTCCTTGTGATTTTTCAGCACAAATGGCTTCCACTTTACTGGAAAGGGCCAAAATACTTTATCACTGATGGAACTGAATGTTACTTCTTGAAGCCAAAATTTGCTTTTCCAGAATTTAAATGTTAAGCCAGCATCTTATGAAAAACAGCTTGGAGATCAAGCAAGTGCTGAGTAAAGGATAGTGAGCAGATGATAATATAATCAATATACTATATGTCTGTCTACTTTTGATTTCAAAAACAGTATCATAGCTATTAAACTATATATTGCTATGATTTAAATCTGTATTTAACCTCAGAATGATCTGAAAATAAGTCTGATTTTGTGGTGGCTGTGCTTTAAAATTAAAATATTATAATCTTAATTCAAGTGATGAAGGATTTCGAAAGTCTGACAGTATTCAGTTTTGAGTACTACTGTAAGGTTAACCTAGACTGGTTTACATGTTTGATTAACAGTTGAAAACATTAGAAATTTAGAAAAGTATTCAAAAAAGTAATCAAATCAGTTACATTACTTTAATAAAGTAATTGAAATAGTTACACTACTTATAACATTTCAAATAGGATAACTTGTAATCTGTAATCAATTTTCCAAAGTAAAATTGGAACACAAATCAGATCTGAACAGTTATGATACACTGTATGGACAGTCAATCATTTAGATCAGATTCCAATGAAATACACAAATAATCAGATTTTGGCTGACAGCGTGAACATAGCAAAACAGTGGTTGGACTGCAGTTCTGAGTTTTGTTTTTAATGATGTTTTTTTATGAAAACAAAAATGAAATCAATATTAGTATGTGTTTTATCATGAAAATGGAATACATAACTTTGTGATATTTGGTGGTTTAAAATGCTGTAAAGTTTTTTTTGTTTGTTTGTTTTTTTTAAATCACATTCAATATGATCTTCACTGGGGACACAAAAGGCACCGAATACCTGGAATGACCTGTTTGGCAACTGGACTGAACTTTATTATTATTTTTAGTTCAAACGTATTGATAAATTAAGCATTATAAAATGTATGCACACAGATTTTTCACACAACTAGTGAACGAGACCCACTGTCTTTAATATTTACACAAATATACAAAGATAAGTGGAAGTGTTACCTCAGTAAGCAGGAAGGAGACTGCAGCAAAAGCAAAAGACCAGCCATATTTATAACTGAAATAAGCTTCATTTGTTTTTGTTCTGTTTAGCATCTCATCATTAATACTGGATATATACAAGACCAGACCCACCACCAGGGACAGACCTGCATCAGAAATAAAGAGAAAATGAGCCAAAGAAAAATAAAGAGGGAAAGAGTTGTAGTGGCACGTTTATGGAGCGAAAATAGTCTCAATAACAATTCACGCAAAAGACACAATGCACACATGCGAAGCCCAATTCACATGCATGATACCGAATTCACAAACACTATATAGGGTGTGATTTGCTGGGGGGGGGGATTTCCCCCCTTCTGGTCTATGCATCCCTGCCTCTGCTCCCCAGTGGGGGATAAAAATAATTCAGCATAGGCAGGGATGAATAGACATTCCAGTCTGAATCAAATGATTCAAGATATGCGCTTTGAAGTCCTGATATGAATCAAATGATTCGATCCGATTGGAGTGCTTTGAAACAGTGAATCATTTTGCGACGCAATGGTAACTGATTCTGAGTTTCAAAAAAGCTCTGTTGATACAGTAAATAATGTAAAAAGTAAAATAAGGATACTGTAAAATGTAAAGATACTGTAAAAAGTAAAGATACTATAAAAAGTTATTTGCTCACTTTCTCTATTCGTTGTCAAATTGTGGTCACGTTAAATATAGTTTCCATTTTTAGCCTATTAAAAACATTTCATGACATGACACATTAGATTACATATAAAGAGAGACCTATATATATATAGCCTATATACTGTATGTGTGTGTGTGTGTGTGTGTATATATATATATATATATATTCACATAAACCAATTCACATGCACAAAATATATATTTTTTTCATGCATGTGAATTAGGTTTCATGCATGTAAATCGGGCTATGCATGTGTGCACTGTGTCTTTTGTGTGAATTATTATTGAGACAAATCTCGCTCCATACATACTGGCCTGAAAAAGATATTTGGCCTTTCAGAGAACTGTCACTTTAAGAGCTAAACACAGTATTTCTCACCAATTTCTTGTAGACACCTAGTCTTCCAGACATGAACAGTTTTATTATTATGTATTATTTACTTATCAGTTTGTATTAGTTAATTCTTATTTTTATCTATTCAGTCATTAGAAAAAAGTTTTACTCTGAAACTTATTATAAAGAAGTATACTTTTGTTCAGCAACATGACATGATTCGTTCTTACTGGCTATATATATGTATATACTGAACACTGCTTTAAACAAACACCCACCTGACAGGATAAAAAAGATTCCAGAGATGAAAGCCAGAATAGTGCGTTGAGGGCGGATCGCTCCTCTCTGCGCTCACACCGTCCCATGGCTTTCTCCCTCGTGGCGGGCATTGTCGCCGACTCTCGCACCTGGTCTGACAGGTTGAGCTCCACGTCCGGGTCGATCTGACGAGATCATCCACGGGGCAGGTGGTGGATGGCGATCCGTTTCTCGCCAGAGTTCACTCCACGAAGGCAACGAAATCCTTTCGAGGACCATCCTCGGACGACGGCGCTCTGCTCGTGGTGTTCAAGTTCATCGTCCGGGTAGTTGGTGGTGCTAGCTAACAGCCGGAACAGTCTTGTATGGTCCTCGAGAGATCTGTCCCCCTGCTCCAGCAGGAGGAGGAGGAATTCCGGGCGGGTGAAGGGATCCATGAGGGGAACTACGGAAACAAAACACTGTGCAAAAACGAAAAACAAAAACGGAGGGTAGACACGGAGGTAACGGTTTTGGTCGATGATCCTAACAAAGACCACATTTACACAACTAATGGGTCCTATTCTTCAGCCTTGCAATGCTATTGGATGCTAGATTAAAAAAAAAATAGGCCTATTTACCTACCTGTGCACCTTGCATGGATGAATTGTACTTCTCATCTGTTCCATGTGAAAAAATACTAATAGAATCATACTGTTTTTGATCATAAACAAGTTTTAAATGTCTTTTTTGTTACCATTTTGAGATTCAATCAAGATTTTATGATTATTAATTGATAAGTTCAAGTTGAAGAATAAATTATTTCTTCAATAATTTGAAAGTATTTGTGTAACAATATTTTAAACTATCTATATCTTATCATTTATCAAATGTACTTAACTGGTCCTTTGCTTGTTTGCCCAATATCTGCTTGCTGCATGAGGGACAGGTGATAATGTTCTGGAATGTGGGGGGTATAAGTGCTATTAGCATGATAAGTAAAGGGCACAATAAGCTATCAGACAGTATTGTGTGAATTCTGTGGAATGTGTGAATTCTGCGAATGGGTAAATTCTTTAAAATGTGTAAGTATGTTTGTGATAAATTTCCACTGACAATTTAGGCTGGAAATGTTTTTTCTTTTCCATTTCAGAATGCCTCCAGCCAAGTCTCATCATATGTGTATGATATATCATTGATGCTCTCCAAAATGAGAACAGTGACTTTTAGATGGACTGTGATACAAGAGAAGAAAGTTTTAAAGTCAAGTCATGAAGAATATTTTAAAGCTTTCATTCAGTTCATCAGGTTTTGTAAATTTAATCAGAACATTTTTTATAATAAATATTTTTTTTTCATTAAAAATATGACTTATTTTATCATTATTGTGTGATTATTAGTTTGTATACATATATAGACTATTGTAATGGGGTTACAGAAGCATTTCACCCGGCGAATGAACCTTTAGATGTTCTCTACATTTGTTCAGACAGTGAGTAAAATCACTGAAATTCTGCTACCCAAAGAGCCCAAAGTTATTTCTGTATTAGAGGCCTCCTACAACAACATTTAAAAGGTGAAATAATTTTTTCACAGGTTTTTTCTAAATTTGGGTCTTCTAGGGGTTACACTTGTGCTCAGTTGTTAAAGTGGTTTGTTTCTGAGGTTGTTCCAAGGTTTAAAAAAAATCCACTATTGTAGAATCAATTATTTTTGTTAGTGCTGTAGTGGCCAGTGACTAAACAACATTTAGAAAGATGCATTTTTATTTCAAAAGAGCCATTTTTACATCAAATTTAGGAGACTTTCACTCACTCAGAACGCTGGCCGTAGACTCTGATGTCATTTGAACGTTCATGGGCATCACATACTCTATTGTAAAGCAGCGCCCCTTCTCCTCTCCTTGAAAAAATAAAAATAAATAAAAACCTGAAAAATGCTACCATGACAGCATAAAATACAATAAAATACAGGATAAAATTATCATTTTCATTTTAAATAAAGAGAAATTAATGTCATCAGATTACACACTTCCAAATATTGACAGATGAATAAAATAGAATAGAACAGAACAGTATAAATTATAAAAGTGATACAATATGCTTTCCCACATTAATTAATTAAAACATAAAGGCATGTTATTATTATTATTATTACTACTACTACTACTACTGCTGCTGCTGCTGCTATTAAGCAGAAGAAGAATGAGCTTGTACTTAAAGGGTTAGTTCACCCAAAAATTCTGTCATTAATTACTCACCCTCATGTTGTTCCAAACCCGTAAGACCATCGTTCATCTTCGGAACACAATTTAAGATATTTTTGATGAAATCTGAGGGCTCTCTGACCCTCCCATAGACAGCAAGGTAACTATCACGTTCAAGGTCCAGAAAAGTACCAAGATGATCGACAAAGTAGTCCGTGTGACATCAGTGGTTCAACTGTAAAGTTACGAAGCTACGAGAATACTTTTTTGCGCAAAGAAAACAAAAATAACGAAAAAATGATACTGTCGTGAACACGAGTCCAAAGTGACGCAGTAGAGACGAAAATGTGGAATAAAGTCATT